GGTAAGGGAGGGGGTGGGGGCAGGGGGGAGAAATGAACCAAGCCTTGTATGCACATATGAATAATAAAAGAAAAATGAAAAAAAAAAAGAATGTAATCAAAGATACTAGGAGAAGAAAGTTGCACTGTTTTTAATATATTAAAGAAACAGGATTAGGAATGTAGCTTAGTAGTAGAGAGCACGCAGGTGTTCTAATTTAATCCAGCATGCAAGGTGCTGGATTTAATTCCCACACCACAAAACCAAACAAAACACATCAGTTAGCTCTCTTAAATGTAAGCCATGCCCCTTGTGAGTAATTTAGAAAACAGGAAAGTTCAAAGAAGAAAATAAGGTTGCTCACAGTCCCACCACCCATGATTGTCGCCCATGATTTATTACTTATTTTAAATAGATTATGTTTGAGTGCCTTTCTTCAATTATGGTGTTTAGTCCTCACAACAAGTTGATTAGAGTAGGTGCTTTAAACTGAGCTATGTTTTGTTCAAGTATTTTAATAATCAGGGGACATGTGTGTTCATGTTGGTATTCTATAAATGAGTTCTGGTTTTTATTTAGTTTTAGAAACGAACTGGTGCAGTAAATCTAGAGTCACTTTTGTGTTTTTGACAGTCATAAGTGATTTCAGTTACAATTAGATGTATTTATTACGTGCTTTTCTGTAGTTTCTTATTACAACAGGAGAAAACCTAGACTACCTTGATGGTGTCCATACCGTGTTTGGTGAGGTGACAGAAGGAATGGACATAGTTAAGAAAATAAATGAGACCTTTGTTGACAAGGATTTTGTACCATATCAAGATATCAGGTGCGGTTGTAATTTATTATCTTGAATGTACTAGAATGTTTTAAAACTGTGGTATTTGACAAGTAGTGGCATGGATGAAACTAATGCAGAGGACTAATGTCTGAATAATTCTAGAACATAAGTTAGTATAAGATGGGAAGAATCCTTATAAAAAACATCTTTTATATTTTTATACCTGACTTATGTTGGGAGGCATTATTAATGCTTTAGTTTTTAAAATGCAGATTGTTGAGAAATAGGGCAAAAGTACTGAGATTTAGCCATTTCATCTTAAAGTAATGCAAAATAGTAATACAATGTCAAATGATGAAAAATAGTAAAACTTATTGTAGAAGTATACTATAGACCAGTAATTCAGTTGTGCAATATTTTTGTGGGGAAGGGGAGCATTGGAAATACTTAAATTATTTGTTATAATTGTGAAAATAAAATAGATTCCAAAATAAGCTAACTGTAACATTTGACATGGTTTTTTTTGTAAGGATAAATCATACAGTGATTTTAGATGATCCATTTGATGATCCTCCTGGTTTATTAATACCTGATCGATCACCTGAACCCACAAGAGAACAATTAGATGTAAGTAGAGCTTCTTGTGATTTGCATGGATTTAGCTTATAAGTCTATTAAAGCTTATTTCCTCATAATGGTTACCTTGCTTGACGAATTATACTAGAGCAAATGTAGAGTTCTTTTTCTCTTCACAGAGATACTCAGTTTTCTGACTTTACATTTCCCTAATTTCCTTTCTTCAGTTTCTAGTCTACCAGAACAACCCTAGCTGTGGAAGCTTATATGAACAACTCCTTGGGAAATTTCTTTTTTTTTTTTTTTTGGTGGGACTGGGGATCAAACGCAGGGCTTCATACTTGCAAAGCAGGCGCTCCACCACTTGAGCCACAACTCTAGTCCATTTTGCTATGGTTATTTTGGAGATGGGATTTCACAAACTGTTTACCTGAAGTGGCTGTGAACTGTAATCCTCCTGATCTCAGCCTCCCAAGTAGCTAGGATTATAGGGGTGAGCCACTGGTACCTGGTGTTCTCCGAAAATTTTTCTTATCACCTAACTCTAATTAGGAGAATAGTTTCAAGGCGAAACTACTGTTTTATGGGGCACTTTTCAACTGGAGATACTCTGACATCAGCCTAGAATCCAGAAATTTCTAAGGAATAAATAACACAGTATCTTCAGATGTTTTGAGGTGTAAATTTCTGCTTATGAGGGTTTCCCAAAGCTGAATTTATGGTTGAGATTGGTGCTTAATTCCAAAATCATTTTTATTCTCCATTCAGCATTTAACAGGAGAATGGATAGTGTCCATATAAATACTTATTTTGATTATGTAAATCAGAAGCTCAGTATAGTACAGAATTAATTTTTTTTTTTGGGTACTGGGGCTTGAATTCAGGGCCTATACCTTGAGCCACTCCAGCAGCTCTTTCTTTGTGATGGGTTTCTTCGAGATAGGGCTTGTCAACTATTTGCCCAGGCTGGTTTTGAACCACAGTTCTCCTGATCACTGCCTCCTGAGTAGCTAGGATTACAGGCATGAGCCACTGGAACCCAGCTAGTACAGAATTAATTTAAATCAGTTTTCAGAGGTTTATAACTTTGTCTCAGTTGCTATTTAAGAAGTTTGGTAGAATTAAGAATAAAGCATAATGTCTTCTTGTTTCTCAGGTTTTTATTCTTTAAATATTTATATCAGTGACTTCTACCTTACAGAGTGGTCGGATAGGAGCAGATGAAGAAATTGATGACTTCAAAGGAAGATCTGCTGAAGAAGTAGAAGAGATCAAGGCAGAAAAAGAGGCCAAAACTCAAGCTATTCTTTTAGAGATGGTAAGAGTCATTTTTGTTCAAATAGTTGTTTTATAACATTTAGCATATTCTTCTTGTGAATTTCTCTATTTTTGGCTATTATCATAGGTTTAAAGTAATAAAAACTTAGGAGTTTTTCTGGATTAAATCTTATGACAAAATTACACACGTGAAAATAAGCAAATTTGATTCCATTATCAATATAGTTCCTCGAGACCCTATCTTGAAAAAAACCCTTCACAAAAAAGGGCTGGTGGAGTGCCTCAAGGTGAAGGCTTGAGTTCAAGCCCCACTACTGCAAAAAAAAAAGTGGATCAACATATATATGCATAATATATGCATGTGTATATATACATACACGTATTTTTTAACAGGTTTGTTTAGCAAAACAGTTAAAGTGAAGAGAAATAGAGAAGAGAAAGAAGAGCATCCTCTGAAAACATTTTTTAAACTTTGTTTTCAGATAATTTCAAGCTTTTGAAAAAAATGGTTTATAAGTTTCTATATACTTTACACCCAGATTTAAACAGTTTTTAACTTTTTGCCACATGCTTTTTTGTTCTCTGTGACTGTATGCACATAAATACACATACTAATTTTCTTCTGGACTATTTGAAAATATGTTGCCTATCATTCTCTTTTACCTTCTTAATCAAAAATACTACATATGTTTTCATGGTACAGTTTTCAAAATCAGGAAATTTAAATTCAAATCGATATTCCAATTTCGCTACTAGTTTCAGTAATATCCTTTATAGCTTTCCCCTCCAGTTTAGTTGAATTTAATTTTCATTCTTTGGTCTCCTTATGTGGAAAAGTTTCTTAAACTTTATTTTCCATGGCATTAATATTTTTGACTAAAACAGGTCACTTATTTAGAGAATAGTCTTCAATTTAGGTTTATCTTCTATTGTCTTATGATTTGGTTTAGGTTATGTACCCACAGCCAAAATTATACATGGATGAGTGTCCTTAAATGTTACATCTGGCAGCGTCCAGATGTCCAAATGCATCTGTTCCTCACTGAAA